TGGAAAACACTTATTTGAAATAGTAATAATATTTCACAATTTTTAATGCATTTTTGATCAACTAAAAGGGGTCTTTTATCTTTGAATAAGATCTACTGAGATGAACCTGCGGAACTATTTGAGGAGGTCCGAAAGGTCACGTCCAAGCAAACTTATTGATAGGATGCAGACCGTTGTTTATCTCTTCTTGGACGTACTCTGGAACGAGGTTAAGATGACCGGATTCACTAAGCCGAACTCTGAATACATCTTTGGATCCATACAAGGCAAAACATCGCTATTGCTGTTTATCATACTTGGGGATTTAAGTATGATGTGCATGATTCATCAAATCATGTTTCTTGTTTAGGAAAGATGTGTTGTTACTTTACCAAGTGATCAGACTTTGATCATGATTTTTACCAGGTGTGTAATAAAAAAATGACAAGGGAAAAAAGGAGGGATATCTTGAGGAAGTTAAAAGCTTAAGCAAGCTCTTAGTGCCTTAAAGAGTCTACTAAAGGTACCTTGAGGTTGTCTTTAAGTATATCCCCGTAATTACTTAGTGTGCATTGCAACAAAGTCCTTAGTAACCATTTCACCCTAAAAACAAATTAAATGACCAAAACAGGTCCCTTAAATCATCTGCTGATTTCATGTTAATTGAGGGGGAAGAAGAATAAAGGCACATTTTTAGTCATCAAAATAAGGTATTGTAAATATTTAAACTATGATATGATTTGTTTATTATCAAGACAACTTACAACAGCCTATAGGGTGAAGTCAGTGAGTGCATTAACAAAGATTCGGGACAAATATAATTTTAAGGATTAAGGATGGTCAGGACACTTAAGGGTTTTCATGCAATCAGGCACAGAATATCAGAGACTTGAGCCAATAAGCAACCACTTAGAACAACATAGCAATACGCTGAGAAAAATCTGAAAACCTTAGCAACCGCATAACAGCACCCTGACAACATCCTAGAATAATGTCATTAAGTTTTGCACAGGCAAGCATTGTCCTCAGAAGATCTAGTTTGGTGGTGTGTCCTTGATTTAAAGATTCTGTTAAAAAAACACTTCGTTTTCATTCGGTTGCACCAACACAGATTTCAGTCCTTGTGTAATGAATGGAGACGAGGTGAGTCGGCCTGTCAGAAGCATCTGTTATTCCTTTTCCCTGGATATGTGTTAATGTTAATGTTGACGTTTGACAGGTTGAGGTCAACGGTGACATCACCACTCTGGTTCTCACCAGCCTCCGCTCTCAGACGGAGAATGATGTTGCCGTTACTCCCGTCTACGACGAGGGTCCAGCAAATCCCATGCTTGGCAGCGCAATAACTGGTGAGCTTATAATCCTCACTGATTCTCCAAGATGACACCAATTGACCGATGGTGTTGGTTTGGCAGCAGCAATTACTTCACGGCTACTGGGTTTTGTTTGCTATGTTGGTGTTGAACTATGTGACTTACTGGCTACAAGAGAAACTTGTTTTTTTTTGCTTGCAAACTTGGAATTTGCTTGCTCCAACTTGTCAGTTCACATGGTTCAAAGTCCCCCTGTTCAGACCAGTTTCTATATGTCACATACTTTCCCATTCAGATGTGGTTCCTGCGCCCAAGAACTTGAGGTTTTCTGAGGTGGGCCAGACTTCATTCAGGGCCACATGGGAGTCTGGAGCACCAGACGTTGAACTCTACCGCATCGGTTGGACCAAGCAGGGCGAGAGCAACTTCAAATACGTATGTTTACCAGTTAAATATTTTTACCAACATTTACATTTATTCATTTGAAAGACGCTCCAAATCAACCAAAGACTTTGGCGTTGCAACCCCCATTCGCTCTCACTCTTAAAAATAAAGCTTCCAAAAAGGGGGTTTTGCAGCAATTCTATAGAACCATTTTTGGGATTCCCAAAGAAACTTTTTAGTGAACAGTTCTTAAAAAGAACCATTTTTTTTAACCTTTCGATCAATGCAAAGGTTCCATGGATGTTAAAGGCTCTTCATGAAACCACTGATGCCAATAAAAAAAACTTTATTTTTAAGAGTGTACCATTGATTTTAAAGCAACATCAAATTAAATTTTCATTACGAATTTAATGAACTCTCTAAAATAACATGTGAGACTCATTGGAATTGATCTTTGCAGGAAATCCTGAGTCATGAAGAGACAAGCCACGTTTTGACAGATTTAGACAGAGACACAATGTATGACATCACTGTCACAGCCATCTACCCCGATGAGTCGGAGAGCGAGGATCTGATGGGGAGCCAACGCACATGTGAGACTAACACACAACTACACATGTAGAACACTAACTTTTGAGTACTGGGACAAAATCAGGCTACAACTGTGAATAAATATCAGTTTATGTTTAAAGGAATTCCAAACTGCCTCATTTTTCTCAACAAATCTATGTTTTTTCTTGCCAATCACTCAATATGTCAACACTTTTATATGCAAGAATATAAAAGTACTGTTCAAATGTTTAGGGTCAGTAAGGTCTTTTTAATATTTTAATAATTGTATTCAGCAAGAATGTATTAAATTGACATTTATAGATTAAAAATGCCAAACAATTTCCTAATAATTAGTATGCTGGAGACATATTATGGCTGTGACACAGAAAATAATATTACTTTAAAATATACACATATTTATACTTTAGTTTTTTTTTTAGTTAAAATATGTTATAGCTGTTGACGATACAATAAAATAACGTGTTGTTTATCTTTTTCTAGTGTCAAAGGTCATTACACCCGCTATGTTGTTTCCAATGAAAGGAAATGCAATTGTTAATGTAAATGCTAATGAGGATGATGACCGCAGGAAGATGATGAATTGCATGTGCATTTTTTTATTTCACCAGAAACTCGTCCACCATCATTTGCCATCATCATTCATCATTGCCATTTCATCGCTATCATTTTGTCATCATTGTCATCCGTCGTCAGTCATAAATGCGCATGCATAACATGCCCGACTGCATTGTTTTTGTTGCAAATGACAATTTCTCCATCCCAAAAACCCATGCGCCTCCATCCTCCTTTCAGGATTGACCCATAATGCTCATGTAAACAGCATAAAGACTAGGGATGGGAATCAATAACCAATTCAAAAAATAAATAAAAATAGAAGGATTTTCGTGATCTTCCATTCGTGAATGAATCGGTTCAATGAATCAGTCAAAAAGACTCACACATCAGTTTGAATTGATTTAATAATTCATTGCATTTGTCCGATTTGTTGTTAAATTAATTACTGACTGCTTCTTCATATGATATGATTAGTTAACATATGGAGCTTTAATAATAAAAGAAACATTAGAATATCTTTCCAAAATAGTAGTTTATGTTCAATTTACAATTTGGAATTCGGAATTTCCTTTAAGGGGTCATATGATGTTGCTAAAAAGAACATTATTTTGTGTATTTGGTGTAATGAAATGTGTTTATGCGGTTTAAGGTTAAAAAAACACATTATTTTCCACATACTGTACATTATTGTTTCTCCTCTATGAAGCCCTAAAAGAACTGTTAAGGAACTGGATTCATCAAGTGGAATCAGAACCAGAATCGTTAAATCCCACGTGATTGCCATGCCTAATAGTTTTAGCTACAGTTCCAAAGCCAGATTTTGCTGATCGACCTTTCTGTCTGCTCCCAGTGCCCACTGGACCACCACAAAACCTCCAGGTTTTCAACGCCACCACTACAACTCTAACCGTAACATGGGACCATGCGCCAGGCTTTGTCCAGAACTACAAAATCACCTACCAACCCCTTGCGGGTGGAAAACCGCTGTCTGTAAGTTCAGCTGTCCCCATTCCCCCTCCACTGAGATGTTTTGAAGCAGGACATGGCTGATCTTTCAATTATGATGATGAGTGGCAGAATCTGTTTTAAGAAAGTTCAAGGCCCGTGTGTTAATCATTACAGCAAGCAAATGGGAACATTGTGACAGAAAGTCATTGCCAACAGACTCATCTGATGCAAACCATCACAGCATGTCTGTTATGTAGGCCTCAAGAATACAAAACCATTACTGTTATGCACTTCATGTCAAGGCACTTGAGATGAACAGCCCAGCAAACATTTACTATATTAGAACTGAACACTGGCGCTTTCACTGGTTTGTTTATTAATGCAGGATGATGCTCTCTTTGGTCATGCAAAAATTGGTGCAAAATTTTTTTTTTTTTAAATCATTCAAATGTAGTTTTTCTTCTGAAAATAGCATCTTCTGAAGTTGCCTTGTCCATGTGAAATATTGGTTAATGTTTATTTACATACTATTTTACTAGCTACTTAAGCTTTGTTTTAGAGTACTTTTTAGTATTTTATTACTCATTAAATAACTTTTTTTTTACTAGGAAATACTTGATTATGGAAACGAAATGGGTTGCAATTGCCATTTCTTGTTGTTTTTTGCTGTTGCACCATATTCAACATGAGAGGGAGCCGTTCTCATTTCATGGAAACCAATGAACACCAAAACAATTCTGACTATTGACATATTTTCCAATCAGATTCAAATTGGTGGAAAGAAGAACAGCGTCATTCTTCAGAAGCTTACCCCTGACACGCATTATTCCATAACCGTGGCTGCCGTCTATCACACCGGAGAAAGTAAAGATATTTCCGGCCAAGGAAAAACAAGTAAGCATCTCTAAGACAATCCTTTCAACGTCCTGAAGTATTTTATGACTCCATTTGGGAAGCGGAAACAATGATAAACTCATTTAGGGAGGATGCATTCCATAAAACATCTTGGTTTTCGCTCACATCTGGAGTTTTGGCCGATTATTTGTCCACCACCAATACCGTTCTGAGAGGCCTTCAGTCCGACATGCTTTACACCGTGACCTTAATTCCTGTTTACGCAGAGGGACGACTCCCGCTGAGATTTCTGTCTGTTTCTCTTGCCCTAAGAGTATTATGAGCTTATATGCAACTATACAGCCAACAAAGGTTTTTCTTTGTGTGTGTGTGTGTGTGTGTTTTGTTCTTCAGGTCTGGATCGGTTCTGCAGGTTTAATCAGTCAGATCCCTGTTACGCAGCTCTGGGACACAAACTCAATCTGATGATGGTGCTGGACGCTAGTGAATATGACCTGAAGATCATAAAGAGAATAAACAACAACACAGCAGATGGTCCCGTTTGTAGAGTAAAGAATGGCAGGATGAGGGATTGTGATTTTTATAATAACAGACCGGAAGTGACCGTCATTAATGGGACTCTGATAATAAATCGTGTGATCAGAGCAGATTCAGGGAATTACAGATTAACACTTGTTGACTCAGATGGCGCAGAAACATCTAGAGATCTTCAAGTGATTGTTGAAGGTACAGAAACTCTCTCATCAGACTCATTACAATCTCATGTTCTCCAAAGATCTCACTCTCATGCAAATGAATCAGTTGAATCTCTGTGAAGGTTTTTATTCCTGTAGCACACAGTAAACACACTACAGACTCCAGTATTAGTACGAGTCGTGTGGAAGAACAAGATTCTCCTGTGTTTGTCATGTGACTGTGATGTGTCCCTCCCTCCAGCTCCTATTGGCTCAGTGGAAGTGTCAATCATCTGCTCCTCCAGTGGGGTGATGAGGGTGTCCTGCTCCTCTGAGGGGGATCCGCTCCTCTACAGCTGGACTCTGAATGGAGATCCACTGATGGATGGAAACAGCAGCATTGATCTGGATGAGGGAACTGATGGAGACATCAGCTGCAGCGTGAAGAACCACGTCAGTCACGCACAGAACACCATTAGAGTCCAACCCTGTCCTGGTGAGATCATTTCTGTGAATCTGCAGATATCAGCTACACACACACTGACTGATTGATTGACTGCTGTGTTTGTGTTGTTCAGTGTGTTCAGTGTCTGTGGTGTTTGTGCTGGTCTGGTGTCTTCAGCTGATGGTTCTGTTGGGTCTGTTAGGAGGTTTTCACATCTACATGAGACACACGTCAGGTGAGAGACGTTTATCATCATCATTATGGATTTGACATGCAGATATTAAGAGTGTGAAGATGATGATGTGATGCTTTTAGGAAAGAAGCAGGAAGATCAGAAAGTGAGGATGAGAAGATTTAGAGAAGGACCTGAACACACAGCAGAAGATTCATGAGAGCAGCAGATCATCTGTATTTTATATGATTTTTAACATGTTTAGACACAGATGTCTATTTTTTATTCGTTTTAGTCAGTTTTGAAATAAAAATGAACTTTGGTATCTTTGGTATATGGTAAGTTAAATGACAATAAAATGCTTTGAAATGAAACTGTATTTCCAGTCCAAAGTTTCAAGCTCTTTTAATTTCATAAGAGTTAGGTTAGGTGGTCAAGGTGTCAATTAGGGTTAGAGGTTACCTCCACAGAGTGCCTTTCAACCCTCACGATACTCAATAAATTTGGTTTTAATTTCCCATTCGCTTTATGTCATAAATAGTAGACACTCAAGTACTATAGAAACATATTAGCTGAGCTCCCACACATTTTTTTAGATAATTATGGGCCATTATTTGAAGCATAAACCATAAGATATGTCCAGCCTGTCATGGACATACATATTACTGTTAAATACGTGTTCATTGCAATATTAAGATGCAAATTATATTTTCTAAAAGGTGCGATGTCCCTTTCCTAAACAGGGTCATTTGTTTGCTTTCAAATTATAAATACATAAAAGATTTTATGTAAACCATGTGCTTTTAAAGAAACTCATACAATTCGCACATATATTTTTTTCTTATTTGGAGAAAACTGTGATATTTGGATGCAGTTTTTTGTTTGCATGTTATTGCCCCCACACCTAGCTATTGAACACACTGGATTATATAGATATGATTGAATTATTATTTAAAATATCAAGTTGACAGGGTGGACCAGCACATGACAGGGTGGACAAATAAAGCAGAACACACAAAGCATGACAACAAATGACAATGAAACATTTATTTAACTTTGAAAAAATAATACAATTACATTCTCAATCACATTGATATACCCCCCCCCCACACGTCCATTCATTTTAGTTTAGTTTAATTCATATCGATTCAGTACATCTTAACTAAAAACCCCATTTATGTATGAACAGAGCGAAACACACTTCTGAAAAGAAATCTAGATATACTGTACATTCACAAACACACCGTACATATAGTGCGCCTCCCATCCAATAAATCGCAATAGGCTAAGCTTTGTGAGTTGTTACTTTTGATATGAAAACATTCTGTCTGAAATTCAAGCAATAAATACCATTTTGGCACTCTTTAATGTGGCGTGATAGCTGTAGACACCTCAGATCAAGCGAAGCAGCAGCATAAACTAATCATCTCTTTCGTTTTAGTGGATACTCGCTAGGGATGGCCGGATCGATCCTTAAGTATCGATACTTTCGATACATGATGTTGTATCGAAAGGATCGATCCTCACATAAAAATAGCGATTCTAAAGTGCATTTTGTAAAATTCAGTGCATAAAATAAGCTTCTAAGTTGGAAAATAGACTATATTAGCGAATAATTGTGTTGGATGGAACCATTTCTCCTGCTCTTCTGAACACAGAAGCAATCAATCACAGACAGCGTTCACTGCTGAGGCATGGCTCACAGTGCTTGTTCAAATAGGGCTGCATTTCCCAAAAGCATCAGAAGCTTAAGTAGATCTATAGAAACCATTGCCACATTATTACATTACATTACATAACATTGTTACTATATATAAAATTAATTCTGAAAAATGCATGACGGTTTCCACACAAATATAAAGCAGCAATAATAATAAATGTTTCTTGAGCAGTAAATATTAGAATGATTTCTGAAGATCATGTGACACTGAAGACTGGAGTAATGATGCTGGAAATACAGCTGCGCATCACAGATGCATTTTAAATTACATTTTAAAATATATTAAAATAGAAAATAGTTATTTTTAATTGTTATATTTCACAATATTGCTGCTTTTACTGTTTTTGTTGTTGTTGTTGATGTTCAAATAAGTGCAGCCTTGGTGAGCATGAGACTTACAAAAATTACAAAATCTTACTGACCCCAAACTTTTGTGTAGGCTACATGTAATATTTATTTTAAATTGGCTAGTTTGTGCAAGTACATTTATTTAAACTGGCTGTTAAAAGTTAAAATGGATTGTGCTCTGTTCCGTAATTGCTGTTAATAAATCTGTCAGAAAAAAAATATGCAAAAGTTTCACCTTTAGGGGTACAACAGCCTGGCAGCCTTTTACAAAAAATAGCCATGGTTTTATTACAGTTACCACAGTTTACCGTGGTAATAATAATAATAATAATACATTTTAGTACTTATGTAACACCATGTTTATTTTTCATGAGGTACCCTCAAAGGTGCACCTTTGTAACTTATCTACCCTTAAAGCATGCATACTTGGCTGAAAACACACAAAACGTGAAGCAGCACATTCATTTTAGTAATATATATGCAGTAGAAATGTGTAAAAACACACACTTTAAATAAACATTGACTGTATAAATGTCTGTCTATTTGTCATTTTGAAATGTGATTTATTTTACTATTACATTTAACACAAACGACTAAAACATCTACTGCATGAATGTCAGTTTGAAACGTTATGTAAATGTTATTTTACTGTTACGTTTAACTACATTTTAAACAATTTAAATAAACATTGACTGTACAAATGTATACAGTGCCGTGAAAAGGTTTTTGCCCACTTCCTGTTTTTTAAATTTTTTGCATTTGTGTGACACGTAAAAGATTCAGATCATCAAACAAATTTTAATATTACACAAAGATAATGCAAAATGCTGTTTTTAAATGATGATTTAATTTATTAAGGGAAAAAAGCTGTACAAACCTATCTGGCCCTACGTGAAAAATTAATTGCTATAATTGCTATTAATTCCTGTTAAATCATGAAATAACTGTGATTAACCACATTAAGTTCAATTTCACTAGCCACACCCAGGCCTGATTACTGCCAGACCTGTTGAATCTCAGCTTTGATTACAGATACATTTTAAATTACATTTTAAAATATATTAAAATAGAAAATAGTTATTTTTAATTGTTATATTTCACAATATTGCTGCTTTTACTGTTTTTGTTGTTGTTGTTGATGTTCAAATAAGTGCAGCCTTGGTGAGCATGAGACTTACAAAAATTACAAAATCTTACTGACCCCAAACTTTTGTGTAGGCTACATGTAATATTTATTTTAAATTGGCTAGTTTGTGCAAGTACATTTATTTAAACTGGCTGTTAAAAGTTAAAATGGATTGTGCTCTGTTCCGTAATTGCTGTTAATAAATCTGTCAGAAAAAAAATATGCAAAAGTTTCACCTTTAGGGGTACAACAGCCTGGCAGCCTTTTACAAAAAATAGCCATGGTTTTATTACAGTTACCACAGTTTACCGTGGTAATAATAATAATAATAATACATTTTAGTACTTATGTAACACCATGTTTATTTTTCATGAGGTACCCTCAAAGCTGCACATTTGTAACTTATCTACCCTTAAAGCATGCATACTAATGGTACTAATGAGGTTATTGCCCCAGTAAAGGGCTAAAATATAATTATAGTATATTTTATTTCTGACAGTGTAGACAAAAAAGGCCTATGAA